AAACCATTTCAGGTGACTACCTCTTGAAGCTCATGGAGAGAATGCCAAGAGTGTGCAAAGCAGTAATCAGAGCAAAGGGTGGCTATTTTGAAGAAACTAGAATATAAAACATGTTTTCAGTTATTTCACCTTTTTTTGTTAAGTACATAACTCCACATGTGTTCATTCATAGTTTTGATGCCTTTAGTGAGAATCTACAATGTAAATAGTCATGAAAATAAAGAAAACGCATTGAATGAGAAGGTGTGTCCAAACTTTTGGCCTGTACTGTATATATATAACATATTTTAAGCTACTACTCTAGCACAATTTCTAAATTTAATTATTATATCCCCCTGAGACCCTGTGTCCTCATATGGGACATCATGTTTTGGCTTAACTGGACCTTATGCTTCATTTACTTGACTTAGACCTGTTGACCTCATTTGTGGGCACTTTTTTGTGCCACCTAGTGGTAGTAAGGTCACAATACACCAATCCATGTGAAAACAAGATGGCAGCCATCTTTGCCAAGTCAGTCTGCAGCTGATCCCTACACAAAAGTGGACAAGGTCCAAAACCTGATCACATTTTATGGTTTAACTTGTATATTTGTGATTAATAATGTTTGTAGTTTGATATGTCACACAAAATTGACCAATTGTAGCAACAGCAACAAGCTAAGACGCTGGTAATTAGGAAGTACTCATTTGAGGACATTAGGACTTTATTATCGTCTCGTTTGAGAACTTTGGGACTTTTTTATCATCTAGTTTGAGGACATTGAGACTTAATTATCGTCTTGTTTGAAGACATTGGGACTTTAATGTCGGCTTGTTTGAGAATATTAGGACTTTATCGTCGTCTCATTTGAGGATATTAGGACTTTATTACTGTCTTGTTTTAGGACATTGGGACTTTATTATCATTGACAATGTTTAGTTTTTTCATTGATCAGATCCTGCTAATCCCAAATAGCAAGGAGAAATTGCAAATGCATACCAAACAAAAGTTCAGGTCTCAGGAGGATATAAAGTCATCTGTAAGACTTAACTGTTCCACTGTGGTGTTTTCAGCTTACCTGGTGCAGGAGCAGCATTATTTCATGGAGACAGTGGAGCTGAAAGGTCTGAAGTATGATCCAGTTCTGCAGGATGAGAACTCTGGTTACTCCATAGTACTGACCTCAGTTTTAAAGTCCAAGGTTAGTACTGATTGTCACCACATTGAGCACCCAATTTAAAAAAAAAAAAAAAAAGTGTTTAATTGTTGACGTACATTTTCACTTTCTTACAGATTAAAAATGTCTTCACTGCCTCATCGATATCACATCACTACGTTGATTGGAGTATTGTTGCCTATGGGTGAGTGAAAGCTGAAGTGGATCATTTACACTGAGCGAAAAAAACTGGTCTGAAGCAACAAACATCATTGTCTGTTTTCCTGTCTTCCCAGTAACATTAATGGTGACGTGATGGCAACATTCAGACTGGTCTTCAGGGTGTCCAAGATCCAGCAGTATTCAGACAACTTCATTCAGGACTTGCTGAGAGCGGGGCTCAGCTCAGTAATGCATGGGAAACCACTGGAGGTGCCAGAATTTGGAGAGATCAACGCTATCATCTTACTGGGTAGGAGAACTATACTGTCATCAGTTGGCTGTCTGTGGCCCTACGAGTGGATGTGTGCAGTGGGAGTGACGAAAATAGGCCACAGCTGGTGCTATGCTTTGTCTCAGGGCTTCAAGTGTCCTCACAGGATCTAATGTTTGTCTGTCTCCTCATTTTCAGGAGCCAGTGGGAAGTCGTTTTATGCTATCGGAGATGAGATGATAGGTGAGTGATTATGTTGTGCAACCATGTTAAAGTGTGCCAGCAAATAATCCTCCAGCTTATGCTTACAGCGTCTTGGAATACCAAATGGGGTGTGTCTTTAATATCAGGGCATAGTGTGACATGTTGACCTGTTTATCACAGACAAATGTGCTTTTCTGTGAGTCTTTTAAGATAGATAGTTGGATAGATTAAAGGTATATTATGCAGGATTTTCCAACAGTACAACAGTAATCCCTCTCAGTCATCACAAAAGCAGTAACCTCCAGGACTGAAAAATTAAACTAACATATAAGATTCGCAAAAAACTGCAGTTCCTCGAATGGCCACTTGAGGCTGGCTCCAAAAGTGAGTCAATGGTCAGTCAAAAATGTCCATAGACCCCCATGTTAAAAATGCCCAACTTTACAGCAGTAATAAACATGTTAAGAGCCTGACAACTGTATGGGGGAGTGAATTTTTATGTAACTCACCTGTTTAAGATTTAAGATTAAGACTTAACGTTATCCATAGGCTATTTAAGAGCCTTAAGAGTCTGTGAAGCGTCACCTCAGTCTATAAGTCAGATCCACCCCTCGCTCCTCCACAGCTGTACCCTCTTGTCCAAATAGGTCACTCCTGGCTCCAAAAAAACAAGATGGCCACGGCCAAAATGCCAAATTTGAGGCTTCAAAATGGCAGTCCACAAACCTATGGGTGACGTCACAGTAGCTACATCCATTATTTTATATAGTCTATGCTTATGACCCACCTGAAGTGTGTGTGTGGCAGTGTATTGGGACTTAATTAAAAAGTGGCTACCAGGTGCCAAAACGTGAGTAGCTTGCACCCAAGAGGAAGCTACCAAAATTGTGCATACAGTGACAAAAAAACCTCTGCAAATATAGCAAGGCGAAGGAATCTGGGGTTGACTCTCACTTTCACTTTTGCAAAAAGCTACAGACCGTTCCTGCGTAGTATACCTTTAAAAAGCTGACTGTTATCTCTGACCTTCAAAGGAAATGGTCACATTTTTGCAGACCATAAAACAACACTCCAATGCTGTTCATACTGGCTGTAAAGAGGTCCCTTCCTTAGGTCTCAATAGTAATCCATCTCTTCATGCAGTATGAAAAGGAGGACTAATAACAGTGACCAATAACTCTTGCAATGTACACGTGGGCATGTAAGTATTGTTTTAAGACAGATGAATGCAAAGAATGTGAGCCTAGTCATCCTTCTTGTACCTAAATACCTTGTGTGAAAAAAATTACACTAGAAATAAACATTATATACATATTATTTGATACTAATTTGGAGTTTCCTCTCAAAATATTGTTTTAATTCCTTATTCATCCCTGTGACGTTCATATCGTACCTTGTAACTCTCATCCTGACATTTTTTCGATTGTCTGGGCTCTGCAGCCAGGTGTCCTGACAACACCTTCACTTGTGACAATGGAGAATGCGTCACCAAATTGAATCCAGAGTGTGACTTTGTCCCCGACTGTGCTGATGGATCTGATGAAGCTCGTTGTGGTGAGCGGCTCTTGAAACTGCAAATTTTAGTGCTGTCCTTTTCAAGCCTCATTATTTGATTTTCTTTTAGTTGTTACTGGTAACAAGCATGCATGATTACCATGAACTATCATAACTGTTAGAAAAAAACCATGACTGCTTCATCTCCATCTTGACGGTATCATCCAACTTTTCCCATCAGCCTGTGGTACACGTCCCGCTATGGGGAGTCGAGTGGTGGGTGGTGAGGATGCTCGGCAAGGGGAGCTGCCATGGCAGGTCAGTCTGAGGTACCATGGACGCCACACCTGTGGAGCCTCCATCATCAGTGAACGCTGGCTGGTCAGTGCAGCTCACTGCTTTGAGAGGTAAGCATTCAGAATTTGGGGACAATTTCAAATCAGTTTTTATCACTCTAGTTTGTGCTTTTACATAACTTTCATGTATTTTTTAAACTTTCCTTATCTCTTTCTTTTCTGTTTTTTAGGGACAACGACCCCACAGAGTGGACGGCCCTGGTCGGGGCCAGACTAGTGAGCGGCGAGGAGTCCGAGTCCACAACGATTAACATCAAGTCGCTGGTCGTGTCTCCAGACTACAACCCAGTGACCACTGACAACGACGTTACTGTGCTGGAGCTGGAGACCCCTCTCACCTTCAGCTCTTACATCCAGCCTGTCTGTCTGCCCTCCACGTCTCATGTGTTTGCCCCCGGACAGAGCTGCGTGGTGTCAGGGTGGGGCGCACTTCACCAGTACAACCGTGAGTCTGCCTGCAGGAGTACAGCTTAACACACCAATAGATGTGGGACTTAGAGTGAAATGGAGCTCATGTTTTTAGTACCCGATACTATGACGTGGACGACTAAGCATTTTAATATTTTGGGATTGACTGCTTTTAGCTTACAGGCGATAATGAGACATGAATCATTTGTAATGAGGATACAGTAACTAAACAGGGCAAATTAAGACCTTTGGTGAAAGGAGGGTTGAAAAAATTATATCCATTAATAATAATACCAGCTTTAAGACAAGGAAAAGATGGTATTTACAGTTTATTCTGTCAACCAAAGTCCTGCATGGCATCAAGTCTCATGTCGCGCTATTATATTACTACATTCCCCAAGTCTACGTGTCGTTATTCTTGATTTACAGTACATCATATAGACTTGAAATCTGTTGTATTGTGTTTATTAATAATACATCACTCTTTTATCAATACTGACTATTTCCATTGCAGCAGGACTGCATGTTGAAATACGATCAGTATGAGTAATTCAGTTGTCCTGTGCTCTTCTGTCATTCAGCGGCGGTGCCTCCCACACTGCAGAAGGCGGTGGTGAAAATCATCGACTCCAAGGTGTGCAATAAATCCTCTGTGTACAGAGGAGCTGTTTCTCACAACATGATGTGTGCCGGATTCCTGCAGGGCAAGGTGGACTCATGTCAGGTCAGTGGTATTTCACTTGCATCACATACGGAGGCTACAATGGCACCAGCTATCGACTTACATTTTCTTACAATACTTTCTTGTCTCAGGGCAAAGTGGTGTATATGTACACTGATGATCTGGAAACTATAAATAGGGTCAAAACTGTACGTTAATACCAGTCACACCCTAAAAAATACAGGCCACTGGGGCTGTTGCTTTAGCATAACATGATGTGTATTGTTAATATCATAATGAGAAAACATGGCACTCCTTCACAGTAAAGGCTCAGTCCAGCTTCCCATTACTCTCAAAATAAGGCCAAAACAAAAGTACATAAGTACATAATTAAAGCGGCAAGCAGTGTTGACAACTCGGCAACAGCACATGCAGCTGTTCATTTTTGTGAAAGTCAGACCCTCCACACAGGAGTGAGATGGTATATCCTACATAGAGTGTTGGGGTTGGAATGACCTATTTCACATTTTGTACCACTTTCTGTGTCCACTATGTGGCGCTGGAGAACACACTAATTACACATCATGTTGCTTTAAATTGATTGTAGACCACACCGTGTAAATTTCACTGTAAATCAAAAGAAAATTGTCTGATAGGTCTTACTCCCTGCTGTCAGTAGGTGGCGCAATCATCATGACATCTAATGTGCATGTAGTTGGCTTCAAGCCTGGAGCCACATAAAACATGAAGTCTGGGGCAGATTGGACTACGTATGCTGGAGTTTCAAACCACTTCCTGTTTGGTGGCGAAACATGGAAGTTTGACGCCTCGCCACAGTCACATGATTTGATGAAAACTCAAGCTTTTAGCAACGTTTGATGTCAAAGGTCTTTAGATGGTACAGAAAAAATTTGAAGTACATCGGATCTAATCTGTAGGAGGAGTTTGTTAAAGTACGACCCTTGGAAATGTCCAAAAATGCATCAAAATTGCCCAATAAATTCAAAATGGCCGACTTCCTGTTGGGTCCCCGTGACCGCCTGCAGCCGGTGCTCGGACCCTAACAAAAAATAAGCTTTAGTTGAAACTGAAACATCACTAAAATGACATGTCAAAGAATCAGAGATCTTCTATTTTTCCCGCAGGGTGACTCTGGAGGGCCTCTGGTGTGTGAGGGGGCCCCAGGGAGGTTTTTCCTGGCTGGGGTGGTGAGTTGGGGTGTGGGCTGTGCCCAGATCAACAGACCTGGGGTTTATTCCCGCGTCACCAGGCTCCGCAACTGGATTCTTAGCCACACAGATCCCAGCTTGGTTCATGATTACACCCTTTATGCTCCCACTGTGCCAGTTACTGTGACGGGAGGAAGCTTTCAGAATCCGCCAGTACCCAGGACCATAGCCATGGATGTGTCCTCTGCACCAACACTACCTGGTAATGTCATACTGGAAGCAGCTGAATTTATTTGTCGCTTGTTGTCAGTCATAAATATTGTATCACAAATATCTTGTTACATGATCCGTCCATTATGTCCTCCAGTCTTGAACTGCACTGGAAACTTCCAGTGTAGCACCACCTCCTGCATCAGCAAGGTCAACCCAGAGTGTGACGGAGTCCCAGACTGCCCCAACCAGGCTGATGAAAGAAACTGTGGTATGTTCATATGTGTAAAGGAGTGCACACACTTTGATTTAAAGGAAACACTTCTGATGTGTGTTGTTTTTTTTCAGACTGCGGCGTACGTCCTGCGTTAGGCTCCCAAAGGATCGTGGGTGGAGTAACAGCTCGAAGGGGGGAGTGGCCTTGGATTGGCAGTCTCCAGTACCAGAGACTGCACCGCTGTGGTGCCACACTCATTCACAACAAATGGTTACTTACAGCGGCACACTGCTTCAAAAGGTACTGCTGAACCTAAACTTCGCCACTATATTCGTTTATATCAAAAATGACTCCCATTACATCGAGCCTGTCCTCATTTATGACCCACAGTGACCCGAGTCCAACTCACTGGGCTGTGAGCCTAGGATCGGTGCTGCGCTCTGGGGTAGGAGCCCTGGTCATCCCCATCCAGAGGGTCATCATCCACCCAGCCTTCAATGACACCAACATGGACCATGACGTGGCTCTGCTGGAGCTGGCAGTCCAGGCCCCCATGTCCTACACCATCCAGTCCGTCTGTCTCCCCTCACCAGTGCACCGCTTCCTCAAGAATGCAGAGTGCTACATCACAGGCTGGGGATCCATGAGGGAAGGAGGTGAGAGATTTAAAATCCCACTGACGGCCTATGGACCAAATCTGACCTGCCACAGGGTGCTGGATGGCCCATTGACCATTTTCTAATTCAAAATTAAAATAAATTGATTCACACTGGGATTTTTTTCATACTTTGAATGGAAATAAGTGGGGCTGTATTCAACCAAAGAAACCTTGGTTAACTGAAAGTCTACCCACACGTCAACCAGTGGATTGGTCGATGGGGGAAAAAAATCTGCACATTATCTGTAACTACATTGCTACCATGCACTAAGAGCACTCTACCTGCTCACACTGTGTCCACCAAAGCATTGTTTCTTTTCCCTGTCACAGGGCTCAATACTAACACTTGCTCAGGGTAAGTAAACTCTGTGTTCAGGCATGTGGAATGCCTGGAGTGTGAAAACTGAATGTAATCTCCAATGTAGTATATCTGAAAATAAACCACAAGCTGTTAGGCTTTTCCAGCTGAGCTGTGAGCTCGAGTCCGTCTCACCGCTAACGTTAAATGTTGAACAGGACTGATGAGAAAAATCAGACATATTGGACACTATAGAAGGAAACTCTGGGGTTACCTTAGAATGAGCTGTTTATATCTACATAAGAAGCGGGTACTCTTTCTCTGAGTCTGCCATGTTGCTATACAGTAGCCCAGAATGGACAAAAAAACACTCAGTGGCTCTAGATAGGGTCATACAGAGTTACGTGACAGCCACTATAGTTCTCCTACACGCATGGCACGTGGGAGATGTTTCAGACCTGCCCCTACACATTTAGAAGGATGTCAGATTGACCCTGTTTGTGTCATTTAAACTAGGCTAGTTAGGGGAAAAACTTTGTGCATCTTTCTTAAAGTGGTCTATAAAGGGTGCCAGATCTGGTAGAATTTGTTTTCAAATGCTGTTGGTGCATCTCATCCTTCACAAAGACAGAATGGGCAGGAGTTCGTTTTTGCTTCCAATTAAATAATATCAATCTACGTGCTAGTAGAGGTACAAATAACATCATATTATGTTGGGAGCTGGTTAACACAAGATCAGAACCTTTAATACAAAATAGTATAGTCAGTGGAATCAGGATCCACAGGTCTACCCAGGACGTCTGATAGCGCCTGAAAAATATTTTGCCAATATGCTGTGACTCTTGGGCAGTGCCAGATCATAAAGTCTAGCGAGGCTGGTGATTGCCCACAACAGTCGCACACTGGACTAATATTTGGATACATTTTACAGAGTCTATGCAATATTTTACAAAAGTCCATGTCAAGGACAAACTGAGGAAGAATGTACCAGTCATTGGGCTTTTGTCTATGACTCTTCTGAAATAGCAACCCCCCAAATCATTTGCCCAGAGTACTTTTAAATAATCTAGGAAGGGGTAACACTTTTCTTGAAGGTTTCTACATAAGGGTCATGAACCTGTCATAAACATTATGTACATGTCATAAATGTTTATGACCGCTGTCATTAAGTGTCATTCGGTTTTTGTAATGACAAGTTGACATTGTTTGGGTTGTCTTGATTATGACAGCTTGACATTAATCAAAGTGACATTACCAGAAGATGTCTTTGTTGTAACAACTTGACATTAACAAGAAATGCACCTCTTTTTGTGTTAATGACAAGTTGACATAATGATTATTATTGTTATGACAAAGACATCTGCTGGTAATGTCATCCTGGTTAATGTCAAGTTGTCATAATAAGGACATCCCAAACAAAGTTAATGTCAACTTGTCATGACAAAGACATCTTCTGGTAATGTCACTTTGATTAATGTCATGTCATAATCAAGACAACCCAAACAATGTCAACTTAATTACAAAAACCGAATGACACTTAATGACAGCAGTCATAAACATTCATGACATGTAAATAATGTTTATGAGAAGTTAATGACCGTGTCATGTCACCCTTCTGTAGATACCTTCAGTAAAGCGTTGCCCAAAAAGGTAGAAACACGCCTCTTTTTAAATGTTCATGAGGATTTTTTTTAACCAAGGCGAGCCGCTTACAGCTCCACCATCCCATAAACTTCACAATATGATATAACCCCTATGAATAAACACTGTCACATGGTCTTTTCACACATTGTTTCTCACTTACCCTTTTTGGTATATAACCATGCAGATAGTTTCACTTTTATCTACTGAGACTCTGAATTATCTACCATTGAAACTCCTGCTGCTACACCAGAACAATGGAGGTGAATGGAATTCAGTTGTAGTGCTCCCAGTAGGCCTAATACAATGATTATTTTTGGCACAGGTTCGTTGACCAACCTGCTGCAGAAAGCTGCAGTGAACATCATTGACCAGGCAGACTGTCAGCAGTCGTATGGAAATGTGCTGACTCCTAACATGATGTGTGCTGGTTCCATGGAAGGAGGCAGGGACACCTGTTTGGTAAGATGAAGAACTTTCTACTATGTGACACAAATACCTTTAACACAGCCTGGAAATGGGCCGGACATCTGGGTGGTGAGGCCTTGGCAGCATCTGAGCAGTAAGATTGTGGACTGAGATTACACAAGTGAGCAGAGGCTTGGAGGAAATAGGGCCACGGCTCTGACAAATCTTTTTACAGTGGATGGTTAACCAGGTCAGTGCAAAGAAAATGATGCCCTTTAATCTTTTGAAGTTTTTAGGAGTTGTCTTTGGAAAACAAAGTAAAAGCATATGAATAATTCATGGTTTGAAAATGTTGTTGAATGTTATAATGATGGAGAAACCAAGTGTTGCTGGTTCAGGAACACTGCAGCACTTATGTGAGAGATGCTTATCTGATGGGAGAGAGTAAAACACAGAGCCCCCCTTTTCACCAGCTTCCTCTCTGTAATCTTCTTATGTAAGGAAACCCACATGCATTCCAGTCTCGGTCAAAGCACCTGGCATCTCAGCAGCAATCCAAGTGACATTCTCTTTGTGCCTTACTCTTCTGCCTCCTCACTCATCCTTAATCAGTTGTTTTAGTCTCATTTACATGCTGGAGACCTCGGTGCAATGAGGTCGTTTTAACTTCTAACAAATTATTAAAAGCCACTTTTTTCTCTCGACTCTCCCCTCTATCATTTAGGGAGACTCTGGGGGGCCGCTGACCTGTCGTGAGCCCTCTGGCCAGTGGTTTATTGCTGGAGTGACCAGCTGGGGACATGGATGTGGGCGAATTGGTTTTCCGGGGGTTTACACGCGTGTGACGTCTGTCAGAAAATGGATATCTACACACCTGCCTTTTTGAAGAGGCTAAAAAGGACCTGAACATGCTAAACATACACACTGGATTTTCCTGACACATCTCCAGAACAATTGTACTGTACAAGGACCAAAGTTAAAAGCCACACATATACAGTAGTCTCCACAGTGTTGACCTGTGTGAACTACTGGTCATAGGTGCTGTTTCTAATACTGTGCAATCATCTGAACTGGGATCATCGTTTTTCTTAATGTACTGAAGAAATAAGAATACTGGACTGTGGCTTATGGACATTCTACTAGCACATGCATGATTTAAAGTATTTATTTCAGTTATTTATTGTTCTGACTGGTAAACTTACTGTACATGGTGTATTTTTTCATGTTGTGTGGGGTTCAGAATATATGTGGTTCATTTACGGGGACATTTTCTTGTCTTTTTTTTATATCTATTCTTGGAAAATGGCAAAGTTGCAATGTGAAACTGTTACTGAAAGGTGGGTTTTCTGGAAAAAATATAGTTCTGTGTAGAAAAAAAAGGTGCTGGAATTTTAACTTGAGTTTGATGAACTCGTAGTGATGTTTCGTTGATAGATACACACTCTTTTAGATGACAGACACGAGAGAGGACTCTGATTGACAAGATTTATTGATTTATCATGAAAATCATCACTGCAAATAATGTTCACAAGCTTCTGCGGCTCTTACTTCCCCTACATAAACTCAGCAGGATAGAGAAAAAAAAAGACTGTGGTTCCCAGACTTCTGACAAACTGTGCACATAAAGCTGAGGTTCAGTACCTCTCGTACAGCAAGGCAGACCCTGCTGAAACAAGCCCACTACTGTGGAGGGCGGCAGATAGAGTGACAACTAGAAAACAGGTCAGACAAAACAGTTTTGTTCCCCGGGCGTACTTTGATATAGGACTGTTTGGAGGCTTGTGAATGTCAGGTTCACCGTCGTGAAAACACCAAGTTGCTCCACAAGTCTTCCTTTTGAATTTAAGTAGGTCTTTCAGAGTAAAAGCATGTTAAGGAGAGCCTGTGTCGTCCCTTAGGGGCTTCAGTCGTGCTGCTTATTTTCTGGGCACAAATGTTTAGTCTCGCTCTGAGAATAGACACAATGAAAAGAATGGGCAACAAACATGGACACACTGCTGACAGTGGTGAGACTCAAGTCCTACTGACAGGTGTCCCAGTTATACAGGCTTTTTAAACACAAGACACATTCACCCGTAATTTGATGGCTGAAAGGTGTCAGTGTTTCCATTGTTGCCACTCTGGATATACACTGGTATAATTACTCCAAAAACAAAAGCCACAGTGCTGCAGGTGACTGATTTAAGACTGCTACATTGCAACAGTACATTTATTTTCAAAATCCTTTTCAGGGATAAACAGAGCTTAAAATATCCCAGCATGCACTGCTCAAGACAAAGAGTAACACCTGTGACAGATCACCAGTCAGTCACAGGGCTGGCACATATACATTCACACTTCTTTCCCTCAAACAGGAAATTTAGAGTTTTCAATCCTCCCGACCTACATGTGTTTAAACACGCAGGTGTAAATCGCAGTTTTCTACAATGCATGTTTACTTGTTAACCAGAAAATTAATTACTCATAACATAAAAACACAAATAATCAAACTTTGTTACTGAACTCTTCCTCAGAGCAAAGTGAAAATGTCCACAGAGACATCATTATGGCTAGAGTCCACAGGCTCTGCTTGCCTGTCCGTGAGGTATTCTGATGATGATGATGGTGGTGTGCAGCTGCCAGGACACACCTGTGCACAGCTGCTGGCCTCCAGTGGAAACACTGTGCTCCTCCTCACTGTAAGCAGCAACCCGAGGGAAGGGAGAGGAAAAGGGGTGAAAAGAGGGGTGCTCACATGCGAGCTCTTTCTCTCTGTAGTCTGGAGTTGTACGTTCGGGACACAGTGTTCCAGGCGTCCATATACCGGTCCATACACATGGCGATACATTTCTGTGAGGACACAAGCAGTGGGATTAATACAATTAAAGAAAAAATAGTGAGTGCTGCACTGGGTTAAGGCTCTGTGTAGTTAGTTGTATAAAAAAAAAATCAGGTGCTCTTCAAGGATGGAGCAGAGAGTCCTTAAAGATAAAAAACAATCAGTACGTTAACATGCACGCAGTAGTCGAGCTAAGAGAAGAGAAAATCGAATTTCTGACCAAGTACGTCTGACTCCACCTTGATGTGCGGCACTGTGTCCTTTTAAATATAGTGTGTAATGAACTAGTTCCAGCTGACCTGAAGAGGAAGCTAACGATTTGCATTTTCCTACCATCCATATACTTCAAACTGTTTAGCTCCTTTAGCTGTCAGAGCATGAATGTAGTTTCCTCATCCATCCAGAAGTGCGTCTTCTGCTTCTCGGTCGCCATAGTGTTTGTTTGTTTGTTTTTCTGGGAGTTACTGCACTGCCGCTACATCATCTCCTTCTTCTTCTGGGTGAAAGCCCGCGAAAGAAAAAGTGGTGCACGCGCAGAAGGCAGAGTGCGACTCTAGTCAGACTCAGTGGATACATGCAGCTGGTCAGCTCACTGTGTAAAAGTCAAACTCTGTTAAATCCTTTATTAATCCATGTGACACCCTGATGAGGACTCTCTAGTCGAAACATGTTGGTTATCCATGTATTAATAAAGGAGTTCTAACTACAGTCAGAGTGCCTCAGATGCACTTTTGGACTGCCTGCCTGCCTGCCCTACTGAGTTTTACAGTAATTGAACCAGCCAATCGTCATTTTTAATCCTTAAACAATTCGTGATCTTTTTAAAAGCTGCAACTAACAATTATTTTCTTTATAAATCATACTGCCAATTATTTTCTCATTAATAATTTGGTCCACAAAATGATGAAAAATACCTGTTACACTTGACAAAAATTTAAGTTGACACATTCAAATTGTCTGACTTACAGTCCAAAACCAGAGAAAGAAGGAAAGCAAATCTTTAAGTTTGATTATCATAGATGATTTCTACTGATTTTCTGACAACTGACTAATCATTTTAGCTCTAATCATTTTACATCTGATAGTAAACTTGCTCATTATGGCCCAGCATACCTGCTCAGAGTTGTCCAGCGTGCTCCCAGGTTTACCTATGCACTTCTTGAAGCATTTGTCTGTCATTCTCTGAAACACAAAGACATTGATCATTTATTATAGTGTATTGCAACTAGCTGACATGCAGTTACATCACCAGTTTACAACATCATCTCGTGAGTATTTAGATGACGTTTTGTGTATGAAGACACTGAGGAGTCTCTAATTAAGGTGGTTCTAAGGTGTATCTGCTAAAACAACGGTTTTTAGACGTTAACATTTTTTCAACAGCATTTCAATGACTACCGCTGCGCCTGAGTTATATTTCACGATAATATCTTCATGTAATGTTGTGAAGGGGTTAATAAAGGTGCTCATACCATCACTAAAACACTTAACTATATCTACCGTTGCCCTTCCACCTGCTAGTTAAGTTTTAGGTAAGTCTTGCTAGCTTAGCAGCTGTGCCCATAGGTTTACCTGCAGCAGCTCCTGAGCGTTAGCCACCGCGATCTGGACCTTGACCTGCTCCATGATGGTTCCGGTGTCCACTTTCCCTCCTGCTCCACCGGCTGAGAAGTCTGAACCGAACCCGTCCATTTCTACCGGAGTCTCCGCCGAAAACTGTAGCTTAACCGAGCCTCTTAATATACACGTGCGGACAGCTACTGCTAGGTTCTGCTAACACAAGTTTTCGATGCCCTTGACACCGGCGGAAGACTGCACGCGTCACTTCCGTTTAGGGGATTCTGATATGGGAAATGTAGTTTAGTTAGGTGAGAGGCGCAGCGCAATAAATACACCGCTGCCAAAACGTGTGTGATATATTTAAACGTGTGTTTATAATACTTAAGAGACACAGACAGGTTGTCAGCACACAGACACCCGCACACCGACTAACAACGCACGTGCACGCACGCGTGTTTGCCGCACGGTGGAGATAAAGTCCACTGAATTACAAAGAGACCCTTTGTATGCTCCCATTATATATAACTATAATTATTAAACATTGTTTTGACATATTATGAAATAGTTTGATGCAACCGCTATAAGAATTTGATTTTTATAGATAGATAGATAGATAGATAGATAGATAGATAGAGTTATTTGAATATAAAGAAATTTAAAAAATAGAATTATACTTATTTGCAAAAAACAAATTGCAATGACAAGATAACATATGCCATTGTTTGGTTTTCAAGTTTCTTATTATTTGTTATCATATGTGCAACAATAGCAGTGAAGCTGTTGGAAATCTTAGATCTCAGACTCCCTCTAAATGCAGTAATGTTCCTGCAAAAGTGAAGGCCTAAATAAATAATGCAAATAAAAACATACATGAAGTATAATACAAAATAATACATGTTTGTGGTAGGCAGGTGTACAGCAATTGTAATCAGGCTGTGCAGTCATGTAGTAAAGATACATGTATATTGAGAAGTAATATAAATGGGCTATTTTGATTTTGATTAAATTGTGATTTGTGATATTGGGCTTTATAAATAGAATTGAATCGAATGCTGTGTACACACACATGAACACAGATGTAAACAGGTAGTAGGCTGCATGTAAAGTGACAAATTGTTTTCTTTTTTTGTTTGTTTAGTTTTTCTCGTATCTCAGCTTGTTTTTGGCTGAATGTCTTCTATGATCAAATTTGTGAAACAATTATGGAGGAAAATTTGATTTACTTGCAAAATATCACAACAACCATTCATCTCATCCTGATGCTCCACAGCAGGCTGGATTGGAAAGGAAATTCAATCAAAATGAATAATATGCATCCACAGCATGTAATTTTAATCAGGATATTCCATATTCCCTTTTTCCTTTGCATAATTACATCGCGTTCATGTTCAGTCTGTCATTCCAAGCAAGTCAGTTATTGTAAGACTGCTGTGCCAACTTGCCTGCGTAAACAGAAAAAGCAATTACTTCGAAGTACAACTATGTGGAAAGCAGGAGCCAACAGCATAAATAGAAAGTCATAAGAACCTCTGCATTGTTTGGTGCTGAGCGCAGGGTATGAGGATGACCCCCTCTGAGGACCCCTCTCCTTATGTTTCAGACGGGATGACCTCACTGAGAGGACCACCTGCCTTGAGTGAACAAATAAGTGGTACAGTGAGTCTGCAGGCAACAATGGAGCGACGGTTACTGTCACTGTCAACAGACACTGTGTGAGTGACTCGCTGCGATGCTGGGGGCATTGAGGAATAATTGCGGGGGGTCTGATTAGTGGCGTGCCGGCCTTGGAGTAATTAATGACCAGTTACACAATGCTGGCACCCAAGCACATGCAAACACACACGCACACACACACACACACACACACACACACACACACAC